CGGGGTGCGGAGCGCCCGCCTCGTGCTGCAGGGCGGATGGGTTCGCGCCTCTGCCCCGCTCCCAGCTGTGCCCAGCGAGCTGGGAACCTCTAGCCCTCTGTGCCCAGCATCTGTCCCACCCTGCACAGCTGGCTCCAGCTTTTGGGGGGGGGTTGGTCATTTTCACGGTCATGGGATTTCAAAAAATTGGATCATACTAATATAACTATGAAGACTATGGGGTGCAGTGCAGGGCCGGCTCTGGCTTTTTTGCCACCCTAGGCAAAAAAAGCCACCCGCCGCCCTGCCCCCCCCCCAGTGTGGCAGGGGAGGGCGCCGAGCCCGGCCGCGGGCCGCAATCCCCAACCAGCCGGAGTGCCGGGGGGAGGGCGGCGAGCCCGCCGCGGCTCCGCTCTCCCCGGTGGCCAGAGCGCTGGGGGGAAGGCAGCAAGCCCGGCTGGGGCCCCACTCTCCCCGACCGGCTGGAGCACCGCGGGGAGGCCGGCGAGCCCAGTCGCGGCCCCGCTCTCGGGCCGGAGCGCCCCACCGTGCCGCCCCAAGCACATGTTTCGTGGGCTGGTGCGTGGAGCCGGCCCTCGTGCAGTGTCACACTGGAGAGCCGGTCTGCATCTCCAGTTGAGCCTGCAGTGTTCCAGGCACAGATGGAGAAGTTCGATCAAACTTTAAATATGCAGCTGGAAAGTCGCAACATTACACAACTTGATTTCTTAGACTGCAGAATCTTAGACCATAAGAACGTCCATACTCGGTCAGTCCAAAGGTCCATCTAGCCCAGTATCCTGTCTTCCCACAGTGGCCAATGCCAAGTACCCCAGAGGGAGTGAACCTAACAGGTAATCATCAAGTGATCCATCCCTTGTCGCCCATTCCCAGCTTCTGGCAAACAGAGGCTAGGGACACTTCAGAGCATGGGGTTGCATCCCTGCTCATCCTGGCTAATAGCTATTGATGGACCTATCCTTCAGCAACTGATCTAGTTCTTTTTTGAACCCAGTTATACTTTTGGCCTTTACAACATCCCCTGGCAAGGAGTTCCACAGGTTGACTATGTATTGTTTGAAGAAGTATTTCCTTTTGTTTGTTTTAAACTTGCTGTCTATTAATTTCATTAATAATCCCTGGTCAGTGTGTTATGTGAAGGAGTAAACACTTCCTTTTTCACTTTCTCCATGAATCAATCAGCCTGGAGACATTTGTGTTCCAACAACACTGTCTCCCCAACAAGCTGGTCAAGATCATAGGACTAGTTAAATTCCCTAATAATTTTTATTCCATCTGAAATTTCCTCAAAGCTATCCACACTGGGTCTTCCTGAAGCAAGGCCAGTGGCAGGGCCGGCTCTGGCTTTTTGGCCGCCCCCAAGCAAAAAAAAAAACAATAAAAACCGTCGGGGCGGCCGGAGCCAGGGTGCAGGGGGACTCCCTACGCTGAAGGTGTGGGGGGGAAGGGGGAGGGAGCAGGGGGAGAGAGAGAAGGGGGGCGGCCGGAGCGGAACAAAGAAAAAAGCGGCCGTGCCGCCCTAGGATTGAGCAGAATGCCGCCTCCTACAAGCTGCCGCCCCAAGCACCGGCTTGCTCGGCTGGTGCCTGCAGCCGGCCCTGGCCAGTGGATCCATACGCTTTTGAAAATTTCATCACGGGACTTAGACTCTTAGAAATGTCACCACGGGAAGCGGCAGCTCAGGGTGATGCCCCCCCCAAACCGAGCGGTGACGGGCAAGTCAGCGGTGATGAGCCCTGAAAGGAAAACAGAGTTGGGGTACAGATCCTGGCTGCTGCCCAGGCTCTCGTCCCCGGCTACCCAGAGATCCCAGCTGCAGTTCCCCGTCCCCCACTGCCCCGGGACCCCAGAGAACCTGGCCGCAGTTATAAACAAGCATCACAATTTATTTTGTAGATGGAAAAATGGAGGCACAAAGGCTGTGAACTGAGTGCCTCGGAGTCACCCCAACAGTCAGTGGCAAAGGCAGGGAGAGAACCCAGCATTCCAGGCTTTCAACCCCATTAGCTCTAACCACTAAACCCCATTCCCCTCCCAGAGCTGGGGATAGAACCCAGGAGTCCTGGCTCCCAGCCTCTGCAGCTCTAATCACCAGATTATGCTTCTCCCTGGCTAGTATTATCTATGGAGAGACCAACTTCACCTTCTGCACAGCCCTCCCCCGGGGTGGGGGCTCGAGCCGGCTCTGCGCTGTGTTGTTAAGAGGGACCCCTAGATACGGAACCCGGCCCTTGTTGCTGCCGATCCCACCTGGCAGAAGGGTTCAGTTACCACAGGATACACTGTGGTCACAGGCCGTTTAACCCCCAGCCATTGACGGGTCTGACAGCTCCATGGTGAGAAGCAGCAGGTCCCTCAGAGGCTGCCTGTGCGTGGGGGTCGAGGACTAAAGCAAACTGCAGGTGACTCCGTCTTTGTTTTGCCTTCCACCTTGGTTACAGGAAATTGATCATGGTGGGCTAAAACCCAGGGGCAGCTCTATGTATTTTGCCACCCCAAGCACGGCAGTCAGTCAGCCTCCAGCGGCATGCCTGCGGGAGGTCCGCTGGTAATGCGGATTCAGCGGCATGCCTGCGGGAGGTCCGCCAGTCCCGCGCCTTCGGCATACCCACCACCGAATTGCTGCCGAAGCTGCGGGACCGGCAGACCTCCCGCAGGCATGCCACAAAAAACATAAACAACGAGGAGTCTGGTGGCACCTTAAAGACTAACAGATTTATTTGGGCATCTGAAGAAGTGAGGTTTTTACCCACGAAAGCTTATGCCCAAATAAATCTGTTAGTCTTTAAGGTGACTCCTTGTTGTTTTTGTAGATACAGACTAACACAGCTACCCCGATACTTGACAAAAACCATAACTTTCTTTTATTCTCACAGCGACTGGCAGGGTGCCCCCCAGGCACGCACTTGCTGCATTGGTGCCTGGAGCAGCCCCTGCTAAAACCACTTCCTAGGTGTTAGAGATATGAGACACAGCAGAGGTTTCAACATGATTGTGTCCTGAGGCCAAAGTGGTGAGAACTGTGTCTGATGGAAACTATAGTCACTGGCAGGCAGGATCCAATGTTTGGGAACATTTCCTTTCATATTATTTGTAAACCCCCGTGCTTCCCCCCATAGCAATGGGCTGCCAGGAATTTCCCCAGCTCTGCTATTTAAATACCCAACAAGGAGCGACTGATATTCAGAACAGACTTCAGGAGGCCATGCTGCCTGTGCCGGTCCCCCTTTCCTGACTGCGACTCTCTCTGGGCTCTGTGTCTGCTGGGCTGCTCCGGTGAGTACGGCAGTGACTCGGGTTGCTTGTATCAGACAGCGTCCGCCTGTCTCCACGGTTGGAACGGCCAGGGCCAGCCTTAGGGGAAAAAGGTGTCCTGGGCAAACTTGTATTTTGGCGCCCTGTCTTGGAGTTTAAGTATGTAGTCGTGTTAGCGAAAGTTTCAGAAATAAAGCTGTCATCTCAAACGTTTTTATAATTTACAAAAAAAAAGTAAAAAAAAAAAACAAAGACGAAATGACACAAAATTCAACTCAATTTTATTCAAATAATAACCAATGTGTGTGTTTTAGGGCACGGGGCAGTGCGGGGGTCGGGGTGGCACAGGGCAGAGCAGGGGTCTGTGGACAGAGAGGCGCTGGGCGGAGGGTGGTGGCGTGCAGGTCTCTGTGCAGTTGTGGGTGGTCTTGGAGAGATCTCTGGTGGGGGGATTGCTGGGCATAGGGGACTGTGGGGGGCGGTTTCTGGGCATGGGGGCAGTGTGGTGCAGCGCGCTGGCAGCACAGGGCCAGGCAGGCCAGTGTGTGTCTGGCGGCTGCTGGTTTCTGAACAGTGCCCTCGCGCTGGGCAGCAGCACGGGAGAGGCCAGCGCCCGTCACTGTGGATAGAATCAGAGCTGGGGTACCAGATCCCAGCTGGTGTCAACTGGCCACAGCTCCGTTGGTTGCAGTCAAGAAGGCTAACAGCATTTTGGGCTGTATAAGTAGGAACATTGCCAGCAGATTGAGAAAAGTGCCTACTCCCCTCTATTCAACACTGGTGAGACCACATCTGGAGTATTGTGTCCAGTTTTGGGCCCCTCACTACAGAAAGGATGTGGACAAATTGGAGAAGGTCCAGCGGAGGACAACAAAAATGATCAGGGGGCTGGGGCACTATTTCACTAGGAGGGGGGTGAAGCACTGGAATGGGTTCCCTAGGGAGGTGGTGGAATCTCCTTCTTTAGAGGTTTTTAAGGCCTGGCTTAACAAGGCCCTGGCTGGGATGATTTCATTGGTGTTGGTCCTGCTTTGAGCAGGGGATTGGACTAGATGACCTCCTGAGGTCTCTTTCAACCCTAATCTTCTATGATTCTTCTATGATTCTATGTAGGCTACCCATGCACCTCTCTTTCCGGCTAACCAACGGGGCACATGAATATTGTCTAGCAGACGGGCAGCTCGCAGTGACGCTGGAGCCAGGGCCATGATTTCCTTCCTCAGCTGCTGCTTCTGGCTCCAAATGCTGGCCACGAAAACAGGTAATGGAAATTTCCTTGGAATAACATTTTCCTTACAGAAACCCCACAGCGCCCCCTGCCGGGGTTGGAATGGCTGGAAGCTCCCCCTACAGCCAGCTTCCCTACCCCACTCCTCTCCGCGCCCCCTGCTGGGCCAGGCCAGGGCTGGAGTAGCTGGGAGCTCCCTCCACGGCCAGTGCCCTGACCTGCTCCCCATCGTGCCCTCTGCTGGGCCAGGCTGGAGTAGCTGGAAGGATCCCCACATCCAGCTCTCCCACCCAGTTCCCCACAGCGCCCCCTGCTGGGAAAGACTGGGACTGGAGTATCCAGAAAGTTCCTCCACATCCAGCACTCCCAGCCTGCTTCCCATAGTGCCCTGTGCTGGGAGAGGCCAGGACTAGAGTAATTGGGAGCTCTGCACATCGCCCCCTGCTGGGTGAGGCTGGCATTTCTCACACACAATCCACCCCTCACTAACCCCTGTGCTTTCTGCTCTGTGCAGTGCAGTTGGAATCAGACGTTGTAGCTCATTTCGGGGGGGGACGTCACCCTGAGCTGCCTCTTCCCATCTCAGCCCGGCATGAACCTCCAGGACTTGACTCTCACCTGGCAGAAGGAGCGGTCGGGGGCAGAGGCCCTGATGGTTCATTGTCACTATTACGGGAGGGAGCAGCTGGAGAAACAGGATGAGGCTTATAGGAACCGGACCCGGCTGGATCCAGAGGGGCTGGCCTGGGGCAATGCGTCCCTGACACTGAGGGGCGTCCGCACCCAGGACGAGGGCGTCTATCTCTGCCACGTCACCTCGGAGCTGGGCTGGACGGCTGAACGCAGGGAGCTGAGAGTGGAAGGTGAGTGCTGGGAATGCTGCATCCCGAGAAGGGTCTGGCTAACATGGTGTGGCTGACTGCTTGACTTATCTTATTTAGTACAATGTCCTGGTCTCTGCCTGATAAGTCATTTGCCTCCCTAATCCTGTCTTCCAAAGAATGAGCTGCCTCTGCTCCTGTATTAATTACTCATGTCAGGCCAGGTCTTAGCCACACTAACACCGCTGTGTTACTGCGGCTGGTTCTTTAGCTCAGCCAGCTGCAGTGCAGGGGGTTAGATCTCCCGACCCTGGGTTCAAGCCCCAGAGAGAGCCTGACGTGGTCGTCATTAAATACCTTCCCCGCTGGCAAGGGAGGGCTCGTTGCCAACCTGTGATGTCCTGCAGCTGGGTCTATCAGGTTAATCCCATGTGCTTGGAGGGTGAATCCCAGAGCTGGGGCCCTCAGAGCCAGGCTGGAGTCTCGCTGCCCTGAGGCTGCCTTGCGTGTCCCAGCTGCCAATTCCCAAAGGCACCTTCAGTGAGCCCTGCTCCAGAGCAGACTCAATCTGGATTCATGACCCAGGTCAGGACCCAGCCCAATTCTGAGACCCCTCCCTAAATCGCCCCCATGTTCCTTCCCCCCAGCCCGTCCAGCAATTGAAGGTGAAAAAGTCCACAGACATGGGAAGTGTTTTTCCTTTCAGCACCCTACAGTGAGCCTCATCTGATCCTTGACCTCTCGTTTCGGCTGGGCCACACCCTCTTGACCTTCAGCTCGGAGGGCGGGTACCCCCGGGCGAGCGTGGAGCGGAGGGACGGGACGGGAACCAACCTGACAGAGCTCAGCAGTACCACAGAGTCCGTGGACGCCCGGGGCCTTTACACCCTGTGCAGCGAGCTGGCCGTGCCCGTGGGGCAGAGCACCAACCTCACCGTGCTCCTGGTGACAGCACCCGGGCGGGAGACCCACATACAGCACATCACAGTGGCAGGAGGACCCGGTGAGTGGGGGAAGGAGGATGGGAATTGTCCAGCCAGTGCAGGGCTCTGCCCCACAGCGGGACGTGGGGAGGGGATTAGTGGATGAGCAGAGTTATTTAACCCACTGTCGCCCCCCAGTGGCAGAGTGGGGTATTGCTGCCCCGAGTTTGGGCTTCGCCGCGTTGGCCCAGGCAGGAGGGCGACACGCTGAGCCTGGGGAGCTCGCTCCGGCTCTCAGGCCCTGTTCACAGGAAGCTCTCGGCTCTCTCTTGCATGGCAGAGACGCAGCCATGTCTGGCTGCTGGTGGCCTGTCTGGGCGCCGTGACCCTGTCTGTGATAGTGGCTGTGTGGATCCTTTGCCCTCCTGTCCATGGGACTTGTGGACGCTTCTCAGAGAATTGCTTTGCCAGGACAATGGATGTGGAAGATCCTTCTCCCCAGAGCCAGCCGGGCCCTGGCACCTGCCCAGCCCTGGGTACACCCACCACCGGCCTCGGGGCTGATCTCCCGGCGGCTCCTTCAGGCCACCTTCACGCCAAGGCTCTGTAGCCGGGAGCCAGGGGTCTCTAGACCCAATGGCCGTGCTTTATAGCAAGGACAGCGCAGTTCTATGGGCAGCACAGAGCCACTGCACCAGGGCTTGCTCTTGTCCCTGACCCCTGCGATGGGAGAGCCCCTTGCGAGGCGGGAACTGACCCATGTCAATACAACGGGGCTCATACACTACAGCCCCCACCGGGGAACCTAACCCCGCTCACGCAGGGCAGCCCTTTGTCCCCCTTTAATCACTGCCCCACATCAGAGCATTTATTGAGATCCCTGTGGGGCTAGGGCCAGAGCCTCAAAGGTATTTATAGAGCCCCAGAGAGGTGGGGCTGGGAGGGACCTTGGAGGGCAGCTAGTCCAGCCCCCTGAGGCAGGTCCAAGTAACCCTAGAACAGCTCTGATAGGGGTTTGTCCAGCCTGGGCTTAGACATCTCCCGTGGCAGGGATCCCACAACCTCCCTTGGACACCGAGTCCAGAGCTGAACTCCCCTGGGAGCTAGCAAGGTGTTCCTGATATCTACCCTCACTCTCCCTTGCTGCAGGTTAAGCCCATTGCTGCTTCTCCTCCCTCCTGCGGAGATGGGGAACAATTTATCACCGGGGGCAGGAGGGAGACCAAGGGGGAGTAGGGGATTGTGGGGGGTGGGAGGTGGACTGGGGAGTATACTACCAAGGGTGGGATGGAGAGCAATAGGATGGCAGCTCCCCCACCCCAGGCTTAACAGAAGGACATGACTCCCCCACCACCTCCGAGCTGTCCCCAGAAATCCTCTCTGTGTGTTCAGTTCCAGCTGGCTGGAGCACCCCCAACCCTCATGCATGGGGCACCGGCAGCCTCCCCTGGTGGCCCAAAGGGCAGATTTGACTATTTATTTATGATGTTTTGAAATCTCGTGATTTCGAAGCCCGTCTTGTGATTTCCAGGACCTGCCTCGTGGGTTTCAGAGGCCTGGGATCGGCTGGGGTGGGTGACAGGAGCTCACAGGATTTGGAGACAGTCAAGAAGTTATTGCGCATAATGTGCAGCTATTGGTGTCACTCACTTATTTCTGCTGGTAGACAGGGCGATTTTCTTCAAAAGAAACAAGACTTTCAATAAATGTGTATTTTATACTAAATCTATTGGGTATTCTTTAAAAGAAACAAAGAGAAACGTATTTGAAACCTGTGACATTATTGACATAAACTGTAACCGTATAGATCATTGTTGCAACCACTGTTATATATTTGCAGCAAATATTGTACAAAGGCTGTTGTGTGAGGTGTCTACGAAGAGGTTATTATTTGCTGGGTATGATTATGCTAGCTGTATGTGTGTCATTTGTGTAGCTGAAGTTATGAATATTGGCTATGTAGTTGTATATCAGTGTGTTTTGATTCTAAGTAGCCTCAGTGAAGCATTTGGTCAGCTTCTTGACAAGGGACTATTCTCAATAAGTGCCCGATCAAGAAACACTTAACTGACAATGGACTTTGGGAGACGCCAATCCACATCTGAGCTTTCTTGGGAACGTTCAAACGAACATGTAAACAATGGCGTCGGCCTGCAAATTGAGCCATGCATGGACATGTGACTTGCCCATGTGACTCCAAGCTCCATCTTGCTGCTGTAATTTTCCATAGTAAGAACAAAGGGGTGTCCTTCCACCTGGAAGAGACTATAAAAGGCAGCTGCCTCATCTCTATTTTGTCTTCAATCCTGCTTCATACCTCTGGAGGAACTTTGCTACAAGCTGAAGCTTTGAACAAAGGACTGAGGACCCATCCCAGCGGGGGATGTATTCCAGAGAATTGATTTGAACCTGCAGTTTATTCTATCGCTGCTGCAACCCTGAACCAAGAACTTTGCCATTACTGTATGTAATTGATTCCATTTAACCAATTCCAACTCTCATCTCTATCTTTTTCCTTTTATGAATAAACCTTTAGATTTTAGATTCTAAAGGATTGGCAACAGCGTGATTGTGGGTAAGATCTGATTTGTATATTGACCTGGGTCTGGGGGTTGGTCCTTTGGGATCAGGAGAACCTTTTTCTTTTACTGGGGTATTGGTTTTCATAACCATTTGTCCCCATAACGAGTGGCACTGGTGGTAATACTGGGAAACTGGAGTGTCTAAGGAGATTGCTTGTGAGACTTGCGGTTAGCCAGTGGGGTGAGATCGAAGTCCTCTTAGTCTGGCTGGGTTGGTTTGCCTTAGAGGTGGAAAAAACCCCAGCCTTGGGATGGAACTGGCCTGTTTGAGCCA